AAAAACTGATCAGCCCACCAAAAGAAAGCTTACATGGTCAGATAAGGAAACCTCTATCGGCAGCACCGCATCCGCACATGGTCATGTTGTTTGAGTGGGTGTCTTGTACTATTATAAAGTAGTATCGATGGACCGGTATGTATATCCAAGGCCAGCAGTCAATTGATTCTGACTTGATCTTGAAACGCACAAAACCCGACGATGCTGCGAATTCGCCAGATCTCCAGTGCCTTACCTGCACACAGTACAGAACTGAAAACGGGTTCAGGTCACAGGATTTCGTAACTGCTGGGCTTGAAGCTCCCCTAAACCCAAACGACAAAACCCAAAACCTACGCAGCCGTATTCCGACCCAAGCCTATCGAGCAGGATTTTCCTCCGAAGCCCAAAGCCCTGAAACCCTGTATACCCCCCCCAGTCTTTGACCCTACAAGAGGCCCAGGAACCCTAAAACACGAACCCTAACCCCTGAACCCTAGCCCCTAAACCCTAACCCCTAAACCCGAAACTTAAACCCTATAAGCATTAAACCCCATGAGCACTCCAAACCCCGCCTAGAGGTCTGATGCAAAGCCGCCCTCCTCGTCGCACCTGTCACCAGCTGCTACGAAGCTGCAGCAGTTCGTGCACATTTAGAAGTTTTTCTGCACTGCGACCCTAGGCTTTCTTCTGCATTAAATATGACTCATATAATAAGGTGCAGAAGCTCTCCGCAGAAAAGATCGAAGAGATTTTGGCCATGTTGGAGCCTGGTGAGTTGGACTTGGCTACGAGGAAGCGACTCAACGAAGCTATGCGAAGACGGTTCGAAGCTGCAGATGGACCGGCACCTCACAAACCCTGAACACCGCCCTATGCTATCCCAAAGCTAAAGCCCGGCATGCCTCGGCAGGATTGAAACCAGGATTGCTTGAGAAATGGAAAGCGACCAAAGATCCGGCCGAGAAGTGGATGGCTCTGTTGTTTCATAGCATCGTACATAGTGATAGGGTAGCCACTTGTCCACACTGCTGAGGTTTGCTTTCTTGAAGGCTTTCGTGCAGCACAAGGACATGCCCGACATCGAAGTCGAGACGTACTATGTTGAGACACCCAACTGCACTCAATCTTCCCGTCTAGCTCGCACATATGTCAGTCGCGATTGCATGTGCACATGTATGCCAAGGAAGGACTCAGTGACCAACAAAGAGAATTGGATCTCGCTGCCGCTAAGCGATCTTCGTAAGATCTACACAACAGAAACCCAGAAGAAATTTCTCGAAGAACAAGTCGTTGCCAGTCGGGGCCTCTGCATTTGCACCATGATGATCGGTGTCATGATGCCTTGGCTTGCTTCAAGTTGTGATTCTGTCCGATTGCTAAGAACAACGTGGCTCCGCTCACCCACAGGACTACAGTTCGCATCGTGCCATCTCGAATGTCGTCTCCGTGCACACGTTTGCTTTTCCAGGATCCGAAGAATCCCGAGATGAGGATTTATACCGTGTTCCGTGACATAAAGGATGTCAGCCCTTTGGCTTATAAGTTGCCACTACCAAAGCCAGAGCTTCGAAGATTTTCTCAAAGCAACCCACTACCCTAACTATCATCCTAAACCCCCAACCCTACACCAATGCTCGACCCTCCCTAACCCGGAACCTAACCCCTGCAACCCTAAAACCAGCCTCAACCCCCACGACCCAATCCCTCAACAATGCCTAAGGTGCCAAGAAGAAGGAGATTGGCACGAGAACCTCGGGAAAAGCCAAGTTGCCGGCAAACAAGGCTGCACGAGCTGCCTTTGCCGAGGGCATGCAGGACAAGGCTGATTCGTTCGGCCGCAGTTGGAGCAGTCTCGGAGAAGCCGGGAAGAATGGTGGTGGTAAGGGAGGTGGTAAGGGAAAAGGAGAAAGTGGAAAAGGGAAGAATCAGAAGGACTTCATGATCTTTTCTCGTTCTCTCTCTCTCTCTCTCTCTCTCTCTCGTTTTGTCTCCTTCCCGTCTCTACCGCATGCCTATGCTTCCATGTGTTTTGTGAACAGCCGCAGGAACTCACGCTTGAAGAAAAGGAGTTGAAGGACTTCCAAAAAGACTTGCAACAGATTCTCGCTTGAACTATTTTGTGATTGCTAGATCCTCTAGAACCCTAGGCTTCAACTCCGAATCGATCCTCTGTGCTTTCCATGAGGCTGCGAGTGTTGGGCAACAAGGCCCTCGTTGCTGCCACGAACCTGAAGTCTACCGAGCTGAAGCGACAGGAGGCCCAGCCAGCAGTGTCAGTGTCTTCTTTGTCGTCCATGCAGCATTCTCGTATGTTTGTTTGCAGACCAATCCCGAGGCTGACATCAAGCATCTGGTGCAGATCAATGCCAATTGCTACACTATTCTGAACGAGCTTCTTGTCAGGATATTTTTATGGATTAGATCATATCTGTCGTGCAGTTTGGGGGCTTAGGGGTTCTGGGTCTCGATGCTTTGGCTTGTTTTCTCAGGTGCAATGCAATCCTGTTCTCAGCCGAGCCGCTGTCCAAAGCCAGAGAATTCCTGGACAGTAAAGGTCAACAGCTGGAGGCATTGCTTTTGCACGTGTACACCTACAAATATCATTGGAATCCAGGGTTCATAGGGTCTAGGGGTTTAGGGCTTAGGGTTTAGAATTCGCTGCTCCTGGCCAGGAATATGCAAAGGATGTGGCACATGCCGAGGGTGTGTTCCAAACCTTTGAGCGACGTGTCTCAGCTTAACTATCGATGGTGTTGTAGTTTGCAACTATTCGCCAATTCTGTTTGATCAGGCAAAGCTTCCGAGAAGCGAAAAAGGGAAAAAAAGGAAAAGGAAGAGCTCGATAGGAAGATGACAGCAGAAGGCTTAGAGAGTCAGGGAGGCGAAGCAGAGCAAGAAGATTGGCCGGATGAGGAAGCTACAGAAGATGGTCCAGGTCAGGGTGAAGAAGATTGGGCCAATGATGGTGACGAAGACGGTGAAGAGCCCCCTGCAAAAAAGGTCCGGGCCTGATCTGCCTGCTTTTCCAGGCATAAAGTGCAGCGAGCACAAGTGCCTCGGCAGGGGTAGCGATCCAAGGGACTGCAGCAGTGGGTCTGCACGGATCATTATATGGCCTAGACCTAGACCTGGACTCAAAGCAAACCTTTAAATCCCTGACAATCCATAGTTTCAGGGGGCTTCCTGCAGCCTGCTATAGATGCAGTCGTGAAGGATCGCCGGTAGCTTTCATATATGTGTGAACGAGCGACCCGGGGCGCAAAATGATCGTCCTAGCATGTCGAGAGTTTTGGTTTGCATGCATGCAACCCTCGCTTCGCCACATGTGCATGAGATCCCTTGCTTGATGAATTATGTGTGAACACAGGCCTCAGCCCTCAGGCTGCATTAACTCGGGAGAAGAAGCTTCGATCCTTGTACGGTCTAAATCCAAACCTCAACCCGAAGCCCCAAAGCTATGTCAATCTTAGTATCCAAGCTAATGTGCTATACCCTAAGGAAGCAATCTTTATTAAACCCGGAAGCTTCAGTACTCTGCTTCGAACCCCAAACACCCTAAACCCCACACCCTATGTATATGCAAAACCGTAACACCTCCAAGCCCAAAGTCAAAACCCCGAGACCTTGCAAACCCTCCCAGAAGCCTAAACCCTGAACCGCCTAAACCCCTGAACTCCAAACCGTAACCCCGAACTCTCTACCCTAAAACCCTAAACTCTCAATCGTAAATCTTGAACAACAACCTACCTGCCCAGACACTGGGTTGCATCTGCCCTTCGTGGGCCAATGGATTCTGCAGCATCATCTGGATCCTCGGGGCAATGGATGATCAATTATATTCGGAGCACAGTGGAAGATATTCTGAAGTTCGTGTCTACCGGAGATGTGCCCTAGATGCAATACTTTGAGTCTTTGAGTGTCTGCAGTTTATGCACCAACTTGTGCATTATGCCATGTTCCAATACGCAGGTCGCGACGAAGAACCTCCTCAACACGACCAGCCCCTAACCCAAAAGTGGTCGCCGGGTTGTTTGAACAATTATCTTGCCTCGACCCACCATAAGGTCGCCTGCTTCAATTACCACAAATGTTGGTGCCGCATCTTGGGCCAAACTACCCTAACACCAGAACCTTAAACCCCAAACCCTACAAACACTGAGGCCTGATATGCTGGATCTGGCGAGGAGATTGGATGCAAAGAAAAACCAATGGGGGCTCGTCAACATCATGGAGGCTTGGTCTCTGAAACAACCATGGCGAGACTTGTATGGAACTATCATAATCCCGTATACACCATATATATATATATATATATATGAACTAGCAATCCCAAACCCTTCAATTTCATTCTTGCTTGGTCAAGGAAAGGTTCTTCCGGAGCCGTACAAGATTCGGGTTCCCTATGCCCGCCTCTTGGGGACACTCAAACTGTTGGTCAGTGGCTTCTGATGTCATAGACTAGACACTAAACATGATCCAACCGAGGTGAACCTGGATGCAGCGGGTAACGAAGATCGGGGTTGGTACGAACACAACATGTTCCTCCCTCACGAAGTGATGGGCTCCATCTACGATTTCGACCGGGAGCTCTTTCACAGACTCTTTGGGCAGCCAGCAGCAACTTGCTTGCACGCTGGAGCCTCCTTACGCCAAATCGCCAAATACTGTTGTGTCTAGACTCTGTGGCTGCAGGAGATTCGAGAATACTGCCAGCAAACGAGAGAGTTTGCTTCACACTGGTGGTACAATCACCCGGCTGCTCAGCTTTGGCTTTACTCAGGTTTGTTCATTGTGCTTCCGGGCTGCATTTTGTACACGCCGAGGCTCTCGGTGAAGCTGATGATTTCATCGTACCTGTGCGACTATATGGCGATGGAGCTGAAAGCTACCGAAGCTGGTTGCATTAGCTACACTGTGAACAATTATCATTTATGAGGGATACTTGACACATGATTGCTGCAGGTACTCAAAACTTCGAGATCTTCCTTTTGCAATCGGTGCTGGGAGAAGAAACATCCTGTATAGATACTCGATTGTTGCTCCCTCGATGCATTTTACGATGCTTCTTTGACTAAGTGTGATGGCATGTCGCTGAGGCTCAGCTGTATGTCTGGGCAAGGCACAAGTGAAGCCAGGGAGCTGATAATGAGAAATATCGCCTGGTCGCTGGAAGTTCTCAGTCCCCGGTCCTTAGGAAGAAACTATGTTTGGGGGGGGTTCTTTATTTGTGAATAGGAAATTGAATTATACGTTTGCCAGTGGGACTTGTAACCAGAGCTATACCGATCTAAAATTTAAACCCCAAACCCCTAAACCCTAAACCCCTAAACCCTAAATCCCTAAACCCTAAACTCCTAAACCCTAAACCCCTATAAACCCCTAACCCCTAAACCCTAACCTAGGTGAGGGTGTCTATCCGTCGGTGGATATGAATGGCGAATGCTTACAGGGCCCTCGTCTTCAAAATGCTGGTCGTCGAATCTGTGGAAAGTACACAGTGGTTCTGGATGCCTTTCAGATGGACCAAGAGTTCATCAGCAAGTGTTTTCGGCTGCAGAGAGTCTTCCCTGCAATATAACTGGCAAGCTATATGTGAGGGTTTGGGTTGTGCTGNNTGATCACAAGGAAATTATACACGCAAGATGGTCTGCTGCTACTGCCAGGCAGGACTTGCAGGTGAGAGCTAGCACCTGCTTGTTGTCAGTTTTTCAATCAATCATCCCTGTATAGGCCCTGCAGTGGATTCTCAAATATCCACTACCTCTCGACCCGGAGCCGAACGACCCCGAGCTTCTCTTCACCAATTTCGGCCGAGGAGCTTTGCATAGACAGACGTTGCTCGGCATTCCATGGCCACTGCAGCATGCACTATCGAAGCCATGCCAGTATACACTTAAAGTCTGCTACTGTCGAGGCTTTGCTCTGGCAGTCAAGAGTTCCTCGAAATTCATGGTTGGAGTCCATTCGCTGGAATGGCTGGTGCCTACTGCCCTTGGCGATCCTCGTTTATCAACATGGTAAAGCTCCCCGAAAGTTTTTCCTTACCCAGCCTAAACCCCAACAAGCATTGAAGCCTATGTATTTACCAAAAGAACAGTATACCAAACTATGAGGCATCCTCCCTGACTACATGCACATAGTGCACCTGGCTTGTTTGGGCGATGCTTTGACGAGCATGCTTTTGGACCTGAGTGATTCGCAGTGGCCGTGGCCGGGATCGTCAAGAGATGCTCGTTTGGAGCATGCATGGCAAAGCTACAAAGAATACTGCCAAAGCTGGAATATTGCTGACAGGTGCGAACGAAAGTTGTTTACCAACGAGACCTTGCGATATGATTATGTCACGGTATCCCAGAAAGTTATGAGGGCGGCAGCTGCTAAATTCATGGTCTTCTGGATGCACTGGTTCATGGACAGCCTACTGCAAGGCGACCCGGAGCAGCCTGAGCATCTAAAGTGCCCGGGCCAGGGAGAATCATTTGGAT